ATCGGCCCAAACCAGGAACCCCCAAGCTCAGGTTCCGGCTACTTGGTGGTGAGGGTATTTTCTATCAGGTTCAAAGAAGACACCCTGTGTGAATCCTTCGAGTGATCAGAATAGCTAAACCCTTCCGGTCTTCCAATTATGTTCTTCCTGATCAGGATGCTTTCGTCCAGTCAATTCTTGCTAGACGTATTGACCTGCCCAACGCCAAACAGAGAAAATCTGGGCGGCCCTCAGGTAAAAAGGATCAATTCCTCACCTACTTGACCAATGCTTGCACAGCTTGCTGCCGATGGAAGAGGGGCACAGTCGTTGAGGCTGCCTGGTGCCTTTACCTCATGAACCCACTGCCCTTTGGGGGCCTGGAAACAGCAGATTGGCAACCAGGACGAACACTAGATCCAAACTGGAACGCCAAAAGACAAACAGCTTGGCTCTGGGCAACTGAGGGAAATGCAAGGCTGGCGACCCCAGAAAGGCTGGCCCCCAAAAAAACTGTAACTTCCTCGATTCAGCAGGGCTAGGAAGCTGGCCTGAGTCTGGCCAGTGGCCCCTCCTTCAGCCTCCAAACGCTGATGGTCGCTTCGTTTAGCGATGGTCGACCAACTCAGCTAAATACACAAGGCTTCCTTTTTCTCCTTGTGCCCCGCCCCCTGGAACCAAAAAAACAATTAATGTGAGGGCCCTACACCTTTGCGCCAGCAACTTCGTTCAATCAGCCAAACAAAAACTCAAAAGTTCAATCTGTTTCAAGCAAGTCCTCGAAACCAACTTGTGACAGTGCCTTCCAGCCTCAGTATGTCCCTACTCAGCTTCCCTCTAGTTGGTGGTTTGGTGGTTTGGTGGTTACGGACGGGTTTCCCATTTACCCTCTAGAACCAGACGCCAATTAGGGGATACCAGACACGGACCCCCGGGTCGAATTCAGGGCCTCAGAAGCGCTGAGCCGCAGACCTCGGGAAATCCCGCGTCTTTGAGTGTGCCAGGCAAGGAAGCAGAAACATCCGGAACACTTGGCATGTGTCGTGGCTGGCTGACTTGCAACATTTGCGGACATGGCATCATGAGGGGGGGGTCTGAAATTCTGTTGATGTTCTCTGACCCAATTTTCATGCGATGGGTGTGCGGTCAGTGGCGAGGTACTCGACAACTTGACTGCCCGCAAACAGTCCGCGCGTTTGCTGGTTTCACAGGCAAAAAATGGGGGCGCACGATGTAATGAGAAGCCTCGGTTGATGAGCATTTTGCAGTGGGCATCACTGAATTGCCGGAAGGTTGCAGCGCTCACAGTGGACCAGGTGAGTCGATCCCGGCTTCCCATCGAGGCCACCCAAAACATGGTGAACATAGGTGTCCTTGGAAGATAGATGGCAGGGCCTTCTATTTTTTAAACAATCCAACCAACAAGGACACCTATGATAGTGACAAGTGCCAACACAGCCGGTCAAGCAACGGCCGCCCGCCCACCAAGCACCTGGCAGGCCCGACGCATGGCATCAGGCTCTTTCGCCGCTTGTGCGAAAATCTGCCGGGCTCAGACGAACCTATCACTTGCATCTCGGATTTTCTGGGATGCTGATGACTTCATCTTGGCGGGAATTTGGTTTTTTTGGGCATCTCTACCCACCCTTTCACGGATGTGGTTTGCCAAGGTTGTTTGCTTGCCAGCCTTTTGCACTAAAACACACACAGCCACCACACATGATCCTCGGAGCAAGGGTGACTGCGGGTCAAATCTGGTCAGGGGACTGCTTGCTACGCCAGGCTTTGTAAATGAAACTCATGTCAAAGTGGCCCCAAACGCTGAACACCACCTGAAGTGGAAATCTAGGGTCCGCTGGTAGGAGCTTGGCCTCGCAAAGTCGCTTTGCATCTCGTTCTGCCAGCGAGCCAAAAGCTGCGGCACCTTGTCTTGGTTGACGTTGGAAGGGGAGCAAAAATTTATTTTTTTGCCGTTAAGTGGTTGGATTCCAACCACTAAACCGCAATAAGCAAAATGTAAAATGCTTCCCAACGACAACCATGTTGTAGTCATCGCCGCGAAAGATCCCCAAGAACAAGCATCATCCGTGAAGCTGTCCCCTCGCTGCCGAGGGTTCTAGCAACTCGTCAAGCTCAGCCTGAAGTAATAAGTAGGCTTGCATGGATGCTGAATATGTTTCTTGAAAAAAACTAGTGTTGCCCCTTGATTTCTTGTGCTGACTTGCTGCGTCGGGCAAGCCAAAGTCAATGCAAAGTGTGCTACTTAGCCCTGCCCTGCCCAAAACCCACAGCGGACATGATTGGACTTAGGCCCAGTTATATTCTATTCATCTCTACTCTTGGTATGGTAGCAAAAAGTCTTTTTTGCAGACTCCCAGTAAAAATGAACAGGACCAAAGAACCAAAAAAACAAAAAACATGCCAAGAACAGCGAAGATATTCTATTGTTTGCTTCCCTTTGAGCCGCTGGTAAAATGTCAAAACGTATCTTAAGCCCAACCCAGAGGACTGAGCCGAAAAAAATCCCACGCTGTGAAGCTTTGGAATGGGAGGCTACAGCCTACTGTGGATGGACGAAATCCTGCACCTAAAAATCCCTGGAATGATGGTTCCCCCTTTTTTTCAAAAAACAGAAACACTGAAGCAAGGGTTTCTAGTGGTTTCAAAGTGGTGCGACATGGATTTCGCAACCATCCACAGTCTCAGTAGATATGGGTATGGGTCAAAAATAAACCACCAGGAATCGGACCGCAGGATTTAGTCCTTTCTATTTACCAGGGCAACCCATTTTTTGGTTACCCTATTTTTGACTCGCAGCCATATCAAAGGGCCCCCTTTTTCAGGGGTGGGGCCATGGGCAACCATAGCGGCCAAGCATCCTCATCGCGCACCTGGGACGAGTGATTGACTTGAGCTGGGGATTGGGGTCCATGCCGGGGAACTTCCAGGTGTAACCTCCCCATGCTCAACAGGGATCCTTACAATAGAAACACCTGAACATTGCCTTGTAAATGGTGGTTTCCAACTTTATTTTGGTGTTGAAAAAACCCAAAACAATCAATTGGGCAAGATGTATCTTTTAAGGAGCCCCGCTCAATTGTGTTCGGGAAACCTTTGTTTTCAAACCTGCCAAAGGGGGGAACATGAAAATGACATCATGCTGGAAAGAAGCGTCTGGCCAAGGAAGAGCCATTAAACCCATGAGGGCCCAATAAATGCCTATAAAGCCAATGCCAAGGTATTTGGTGTTTTCAAACCAATCTGGTGTTTTCAACCATTTGTAAAGTATGTCTCTAAACTGAGAGGTGGACATACTTTACAAATGTTTGAAAACACCAAATTGGTTTGAAAACACCAAATACCTTGACATTGGCTTTATAACCTTTTTCAGGGCAACAACGGCGTGTCAAACTCGTGCGTACAGGACAGCAAAGGGAAGTTGACGTGAGGAGCTGCAACGTCATGGTCATGCCAAATTGCCGTCGCAAACGATGCCAAAGGCACTCCTGGGGTCGTTTGAATCTAACGACCTGGACAGCGAAAAGGCTGCTGAGCGCGTTGATCAAGCCTTAAGCTTACCTATAAGAAACGTCTCCTGCATCCTCAACCCTCCGAAAAGTCCACGAGGCGCCAAACCCGGGGTACAACAGCGCACTTCAGGCACCTGACCTGCATCGGCAACATGCGTTCAAAACCAATTTTCACGGCCAAACCCCATTTTGCACATGCAGAACTCCAGGCTTTTTGTGGAACCGGAACCCCTCCGCAGAAAATGCTGCGTGAGGTTAGGACTGACTTGAAATTTCACGTCCCATCCTGTCCCCGCGTGGCTCCCACCCCTAGAGGCTCACTCTTTTCAACGCCCCGCCTACGTCTGTCTCAGCTGGCTGGAAGGAAGAGGATCGCATAACTTCAGCTTCCCACGAACTTGGCTGACGTTGGGTTTGGGGAGTGGTTGGATTTCAACCGCTAAACCACAACAAGCAAAAATATAAAATGTTTCCCAACAACAACCATGCTAACTTTGGATTGGTGGTTTGGATTGGATTGAATTGGTTTGGAACTTTGGATTGGTGATTGGTGATTGGTGAATGGGTTTGGTGGTTTGCTTTTCTGTACCCTCTGGAGAAAAAAAGGGGTTCAACTCTCACAGCGGGCGAAAAAAACCACCAGCCTGACGGGTTACCTGAGAACTGACTCAGATCTCTTCCGAGTTCCGCTGCCGAGTTCTGGGGCGGCACTGCGCACCTCGGATTGACCTGAACAGACCGTCGTTCGGGATGCACCATCCTTCCGTGGATCGCCCTTCTCTTCTTTAAAAAAAACATGGCTTCAACCCCATTCTTCATTTTTAACATTTAAAAAAAACCCTTTAATATTGAACAGCTACCCCTGATCATTCTGAAAGATTTTTATAAATCCGAGGTGGACGTTGAGCAAGGCCCAGACTACCCTCCGTCCCGTGCCCAGCTCTGAGCTTAGTCCACGTCACCGGTCTGCAACAACGAACCCAGTGGAAGAGTGACCCCCATTATTCTGGAAAACGGTCTGGATCTGGCTTTTGTGGTTCCACCCCTGTAGAAGGTGGAAAGAGTACTAAAAGATTACTAAAAAAGGACCAACAGGGGGAAGAACCGGTGAAATCCAAAACGGCTTGTGGCACTATGGTAAGTGGGTCCTTGGGGAAATAAGCATCAAGATCTGATTCCGCAAGAAAGGTCTGCCAGGTGTCCCCTAATCAGTCCTTTGCACATGTGCACCACAAAGAAAGACGGATCAAAGAAGCGCATTGGCGCACATGGACAGAGGGTGTCGCTCTTGGTCCTTGCATATCCTAGGCCAGGGTTGCCAAGGTGGCAACCCGCCGCAGTCCAGCAAGACGAATTCTGGACGTGCAAATCCGAAGCTCCTTTGCGCTCTGGCCGGTGAGACGGGGCCGTGCCCCGTCTCTGAGCCAGGCGTAGCTTCCTCAAACGGAGAACCCGAATCGCCAAGTCTTTGCAAAGTCTTATTGGTCTTATTGTCGTCCCCCGTTTGTTCGCACGCCTCACACCAAACAGCCATCCCAGCCGGCCCATTTCTGTATGGCCGTGGCGGGCTCTTAGCGCCTCAATGACTCAAGGAATCTCAAGGACGCACGGGTGGCGCCAAGCCGGCTTTATCCGGCATCCACAAAAAACATGTCGGCTACTTCAGTTGGATGAGGTTCTGCTTCGTCTCGTTGCCTGGTGGGCCTTGCGTCTTGGTCATACCCACCACGCCCAAACACTTCTAGCCATCCTTAACTCCCCAGACTTATACCTTGGTTACTTGCGTTGGCTGCTTGATGAGAGCCGAAGGCTGCATAGCTTGGTACAGGCCATGCCCCTTTCCACTCCAACGGGAAAATCGAGAAACTTTTGGCCTGTCCGGGAAAAAATGCGAACTGCCTGAGCGCCAGAGGCCGGCTAAAGATCAACCCAAGACTGCGCAAGCGCAGCAAACGAGGACCTCTGCTGGAAATCTAATAATCATATTTTCCACAGACTCCAGCCCTCAGCGTACAATTCCCTGTCCATCCCAAGTTGGACATGTGTCAAAACAGGCCCGACTTGTGTTTGACGCGCAGCCGGCGCAGGCGCAGAACCACAAAAGGGAACATGCAACAAATGGAATGCCAGCCTCGGTCAACCAATTCGCCAGTTGCCACATGGTGCCAGTGACCCTGGCAAAAAACGGGCACCCTTTCTGAGGGTCAGCCAGGACCAGACCCCACCCACCCGCCCTGTGTAAACAGACGGAAGCCGGAAACCGACAGAACCCGACAACTCCCAGCAAGCCGCACCCAACTGCCCAAAGGCCCAAATCCACCTGAAACGCGTCCCGTATTCCTTCCCTCCACCCCTCCATCCCTTTCTCAAACCTTCCCTCCATCCCCTCCATCCCCCAAATCCATTCCTTCCCTTTTTCTCAACCCCTCCATCCCCCCAACCCTCCACCCCCACCCCCCAAACCCCCCACCCCAAACTGCAGGTGTCCAAGGCGCAGGGCCGGCGGCACCCGTTCTTCGCGCGCACGTAGAGGGCCTGCTGCGCCTCCGCGGCGCTGGGCGCTTTGCTCAGCTCGGGGAAGGCCTCCCGAACGGGAGGGGCGGATGGGGGATGGGGGGGGATGGGCCCTATTGATTTGTTGAACAAAATCGTTTGCTTGTTGAAAACAACCTTGAACTTGAAAACCGAACCTCAAATCCCCTACCCCAGGCCCCCTATTATAACTTTTTGTTGGGGGGGGGGGGGCGGATGGTGGGGGCGGAGAGCAGACCAGCTGAAAAAAGGAAATGCGACCAGGTGCGCTTTTGTTGTCTGGACAAGTTGGAGAAAATCCGCCGACGCCAGTCGAGCGTGTAGATGGCAGTCCGCAACTTGGTCTTCCTCCGGAATCTCTTATCAAAGCCAAAGGCTTTTGGCACTGCTATTTGTTGGTATTCTGTGCTAGGTGTGCAAGTGTTTTTGGGTCTTTCGTGCTAAAAATGTGGAATGTGTCCCTTTTCTTTGCAGATGTTGGAACTGGCCTGTTAGGGGTTTGGGTGGGGCCAAGTGCAATGATACTTTGAGGAATTGTTGAAATTTGCAAAAACGAGCGTTTTTTTTGCAATCCCCCACCTGCGGAGCAGTTACTGCGAAACATCCCCTGCATTATCGTGCTTTTGGAAGTCTATTCTTAGGGTATTTGAGGGGGGTTGCTAGTAATTTTTTGATGGTTGCTTTTAGGAAATATCGAAAACCCGGGTTTTTGCACTTTTTTGCGGCTAGCCGGCTGCATTCCCAGCATTCGCCACATCTCTGGTATTTTCTGTGTTTGGTCAAATAAAATCTTGAGCGCGAAGATGGGGTCTGTTCCTGTAAGTTGTGTGGTTGCATCCCTTGCATTTCCAGCATCCTCAGCATCTGGGACATGAAAAACTGGAAAGTGCCAAGAAGGCCGTGTTGTACTTACAAAAAATTGGGGCCTTGATTATATACCAGCTCTGCGGCCGAAGTCAAAGCGGCGTTGTTTTAAGAGGCCCGTGTCACCGAGGCAAAAAAGCATTGTTTTCCTTACCCGAAATTCGAGGCACCCCCCCAGTCCACGTGCTAAGAGTCCCATGTGACCTAGGCCCAAATTCAAGGCACCTCAGAGCCTTCCACGCGTTAGAGGTGCGTTGCTTGTTCTCCTTCCAGGCGTTAAGACCCATTTGACCTGGGCAAAAAGACGTGTTTTGGTCTCGGTTCACTTGTTAAGAGCCCCATGTGACCTAGGCAAAAAGACGTCTTTCTCCCAGCCCAAAAGTCGAGGCACCCTGCAGCCGACGTCAGAGGGGCGCTGTTTGTGTTCTCCTTCATGCGTTAAGAGCCCCTTTTGACCTAAGCAAAAAAACGTCTTTTGCCTTACCCCAAATTCGAGGCACTCTGCAGCCGACGTCAGAGGGGCAAGGCGTTGTTTGCATTCTGCTTCCACGCGTCAAGAACCCCACGTGACCTGGGCAAAAAAGAGAGCCCAAACTCAAGGTACCTTGCAGCCGACGTCAGGGGGGCGTCGGCTGTTTTCGTTCTCCTTCCACGTGTTAAGAGCCCCGCGCATCGTTTGTTCTCCTTAGCCCCACGCGACCTAGGCAAAAACACATCTTTCCCTACCCCGAATTCAAGGCACCCTCCAGCCAACGTCAGAGGGGCACTGTTTGTGCTCTCCTTCCACGCATTAAGAGCCATGTGACCTAAGCAAACAAACGTCTTTCTCCTCACCCCAAATTTGAAGCTGCAGCCGACGTCAGACGGGGTTCTCCTTCCACGCGCTTAGCGCCCCACGTGACCTAAGCAAAAAAACGTGTTTTTCCTTACCCCAAATTTGAAGCACGCTGCAGCCGACGTCAGAGGGGGGTTTCTCCTTCCACGCGCTTAGCGCCCCACGTGACCTAAGCAAAAAAACGTTTTTTTCCTTACCCCAAATTCGAGGCACTCTGCAGCCGACTTCAGAGGGGCGTTGTTTACGTCAGAGAAGTTGCTTTTTAGGCAAAAACCGTCTCTTCACAGGCCCCAAGTGAGAAAGGAAACAAAAGATTGGTTTTTTGCCCTTATAGGGTTTTCTCAATTTTCCCTTCTGACCAGCGAGCTGGCTTTGTGCAATTGTCCCTTGAGCCAGTGCTGACTCCAGATTGACCAGCCCCAGTTTACTAATAGGGGACTGTCCACTGGCGTCGGCGGGTCGCGTAGCGATTTCAATATGTCCAGTGAAGAAAGCCCCTTTGAAACCAACAGGGGAAAACAAACATGGTCTTAAGCAAATGGATTGGGCGAAACCGTGGGAACGGGAGAAAAGTTCAGTCTTGTAAGGGAACCGTGGAAGATCTCAAGTTGGGGAGAGCTATGCCCTTCAAGGGAATGAAACAAACCCGTGCTCGGTCTAGATGAATGTTCAAACATCTGCTTTCAGTGCCTTCCCCGGATTCGGCCGATGCTTGCCCTGCGCCCTGCCAACCTGCCAAATGGAACCTGGTGAACCTGGTGAAGGTTGCTGACCAGGCTGACAGGAAGCTCTTTGTCTCAAACTGGGCACTTGCCGCCCGCGGTCGCCAAAGCGCCAAAACAACGTGGCTTCCAGGATTGCAATCTCAGTCGGATGCCTCAAACTAGGCTTGGGAAGCCCAGCCAAAAAAACAAAATCAAACGCGCGGCTCCCTTCAGCCGCATTGATTCTCCCACAAGGCGCCTCGGGCATGGTGTGGATCCCGGTCTTCAGGAGCCACTTCACCGCCCAGTAGCAGTCCTCGCCCCACTCGGCGTCTTTGCAGGGCTTGGGCTTGTGCTTCGGCACGTCGAAGAAGAACCTTTGCGGCCATAGGTGGCCTTTTTTGAAAAATCGTTTGCCCTGGTAAATGGACCAAAACCCATCTAAACCAGTGACGCCTATGTTTGCGGTACGCCAAGATGATACTTCGTAATTCGCAAAGATGTCGTGCCCTTCCACATACAGTAAAGGTTGGCACTGCAAAAATGAATTGCCCTCAGCTCTCTCATCAAGAGTTGCCAGACCTGCTACCGCGTCAAGGGCACCGAACCACCCGGCTCATACAGCTGTTGGCCATGGTCAAAGACTTCTCTTGAATGGCCAAAACCATTGCAGATTCTAGTTCCCTTCCAAGCTCTAGGCAGAACAACGCCCTAATTCAAAGGGCGAAACGCCTTGCTACAAGTCGTTAAGCAAATATAGCTCTGACAAGCTCATGATTGAGGGCCAGCCCCTGAACTGTCGTTCATTTCTGATGGCATATACTGGCACCCTGTTCCGCGCCTAAAGTAAGGGGGCGGGCTCCAGCTGCTGCGAAATCAGGTTGCTTGGCAGACAGGATCCTCCTTCATTTTCCCTGCACGGCTAATTTCCTCCAGCTTGGTGGAAAGCACTGTTTGGTGAAAGCCTGACAGCCCCTTTCAGCGACCAGAGATCACCCAAAACGTTTCGACACAAACCACCGCTCTTGGCTTCTGCACTCACCCCACGTCGCCTAAGAACAACGCGATACACCCACACAAAAAACACGATATATATATATATATATATGTGTGTGTGTATTCCAGATTCTGGGCTGCACATTGCTTGCTATTGAGGGAATCGCTTGAACTAGTTTCATCCAGGTGATTTCGGTCAAACCTGCGCTTCCTGCCAACCCATCCACCGAGCGAGCGGCAGGTCCCGCACATCCGCGTCATGCGCGCTCACCTGCGCCGCGCCGTCACCTGGGTTTCTGTGGCTGGCACTGGCACCGGTGGCGGTTCTCTGGCAGAAATGGATGAAACACATCTCCATCCCCAGAAAGGCGATTCATGGTAACTGCGCTGCCCGTTTTCGGATCCCCCGCTAAAGTGTAATTTTTGGTGGGTTGAATGGATACCACTAAACCCCTCCCCAAAAAAAACAAAAACAAAACTAAGGGGATGGCTGGAAGCCACCAAGCTAAACGACTTGCAGCTCGCTTGTCCCAGCCCATCACGGCAGCATGCACACACTAGTTGTCTAGTCCAACTGCGCATGCTGATGCGTGACCTGAGGATGCCTTCAGCACCAATGGCTCGGATAGAATATGTTCTCAGGACTGGCTGCGTTAGAAGGGCCCAGCTTAGCTTCAAACAACCCCTAGTAGCTACTGCTTTGCCCAAATTTCGGATATGCCTACAAGCAATTCATCAGCTGGATGCATCGGATTCACCCCCCCTCCCCCCCCAAAAGGTCAAACCTCAGACTAACCGGGTCCTGGGGAAGGAGAAGGTAGTTGTAGGTGGCCGATCTGCGGGATTGAGGACGCATCCGGAGATGAGGAAAATGTATAGTATTGGGCTGGAATTGAACTCAAGTGGTGCTTTTTTGCGCGGGATCATTGATGGTTCTGCCGAACACGCCGTGCTAATTACGGGTGGTCCCAGAGATCCGCATCGTCGTTTAGAATTGTGTGGTTTTGGATCCTACGAACCAGCCTCTGTAATCGGTGGCATGCTTTGATCCAATATCAACATTACCCAGTACAACCTCAACTCAAACAAACGGTATGAGACCTTGAAAAGCCTCAGTCTGGCCGCTGTCTGGCACAGCTGTCACAACTGTCACAGCTGCCAGGCGGGTGGACGGGCAGGTGGGCAGGGACTGCTACTTAAAATTCAACAACCCCAAACCTGTCGAGTGGGAACCAGCTTGCCCAAAACATGATGCTTCAAACAATGCACCAGGGAAACCATGAAGAGTCCCACCTTCATAGAGGCAGGCGCCACTTAGAGAGCTTCGAGTTGGTCAAGGGTTTGGACCAGCTTTGTCCGGGCTGCCCTCAGATCCCCTGCTAAAAGTTCAACCTTCAGTCAAACTACCACTAAACCCTAAAACGTCAAAAAGCTAAGGAACCGGATGGGGTGGGAGCCACCAAGAAACTGTTGGTCGATTTCTGGACGGCAGAAATGAACAGCTGGACGCTTGTTTCTCTTCCATGTGCGATTTCGCCCCCTGGAAACAACATCAAGCTACTTCCAGTCGTGAAATCGATTCCAAGCAGAAGACCAGAAATAAAGACATATTCTGAAGACTAAAGTTCTGCCCCGACCCGAGCCGATGTCCAGGCCACAGGTGCCGGTGAAGTTCTTGGGTATTTGTGGGCTGCAGGGCGCCGGGCAGTCCTGGACTCGGAGGGGCGCCGGTAAAGGCGGGGGGCACCGCCCCAACCCCAATGACATAAGCTATAATATATATATATATCTTACCCCTGAAAACTCCAAGCCCTGGGGAAGTTAATCTTTTACAGACATATAGCCCATGTTACCCAAAAAGTTGAACAGTTGTGTTTTTAAGAGGTAAGTATATAACATGTTCAGGACAGGGGTGCCTCTTCGCCCCATAGCAGAAACCAAAGAACATGTCCAGGGATGCCTCGTACCCTCCCACAGACTAAAGCCAAAAGGACGCTCAGTGCCCCACATGCCGCTTTTGGTACGCTGTGGCTTCCTTCCGCCAGATCGCGCCCGTTTCGACGCGCTTCGCCCTGTCCGCCCCGCCGGTCCCCCTGGTGGTTCACGTGCAGAGCTGCCTGGAACTCCTGGCTCAGGTGTGCGCTAGCTCTGGACTGCATCAGGCGCATGCACGGTGGAGCTGGAAAACACGGTGCCAAAACCAGAAATAACCCAACGAACGTTTTCATCTAAGCCCTTGTCCCCAGTCCTTTTCTGGGAGCCTTTCGCCCCAGCATGGTACCCAGGCTGGGTACCAAGAAGCCCACCTACGTGCCTGAAGATTCACCAAAAGCCGTCTGAAACAAAACTGACCTGCTGCCATGTGCAGCCATTGAACGCGTTTTGGCCAGCTTCCTACCAACAAGATGCTCACGAATGATCTTCAAGTCCAAATGCAGAAAGTGGGGGGGGGGGGGGAGAGAGAGCGAGGAAGAGAGAGAGAGAGAAAGTGATAGGGGGAAAACACTTAGTTGCCCAGCGGCTCATGTTGAAATTGGGAAGGCATGCCAAGCGTGGCAACGCAACTTCTCTGCTCAGACACGTTTTCTGGCATTGTCCTGCCATCCTGTCACCGGGAAGCTCAGTGGGGTGGCGGACCTGCTGTCCAAGCATGTTTCAATCACTGAAGTTGAAGCATTCTCTCTGAGGATCTTTAGTTTAGCTTTCTGTTTCAGCCGGCAATTGCTCCAACGTCCTCCCTTTTTAGCCTCACTTCAAACGGGTCGAGTTGACGACCTTACTTGCATAGCGAGCCTCGTAGTGGGAGGCGACTGTCAGGCCGGCCGTCGGCCTCAGGTGAATGAAAGGGAAGAACAGCGATGGAAATTGCTGGAGCCCAGTGGTGGTCGGTAAGCCCCATTTACCCTCTACAAGTTCCAGGGGTTCAAACCACCAATCCAAAACACCAACTAAACATTCCCTGACGTTTCGCTGTCTGTTGGGGAGGGCACAAAAAATCATACAAAACAAACATACCATGACAGGCAGGCCCCGAAACCTTGAGCGAAGGCGGTCGTTTTTTTTTAGGAAAGGGGAAGCGCAAAAAAGCGGAATCCTTTCATTGCATCCATTGGACTTAGGCGCTGCGCTGGCGCTTGGGATCCCTGCAAAAGGGAAACCATGGAGCTTCCCTTGAACTTGGGTCCGTTTGACCCCTCCACGGAAAGCTGACAACCTGTTTGTGGGTTCAATTCGGACAACCCAATGGATTTCAATCAACAAGTTGGAGTCTACAAACCAGCTGCCCAATAGAAATCAAGGAAAGGAGCCGGGCCTTAAACCAGTCCGGAAAGGGATCCACAACTTTGACCGTCCGTCATTTGAAGGCCACCTTTGACGTCCCAACCCGGGAGGCAAAGTCCGCTGTCATTGCTGGGCTGACCGTTTTCAGATCCCCTGCTAAAAGTGAGTCACAATCAAAACCCGGTGTTGAAGTGGTCTACCCATGTCAAGAGACGGCAAGGTGACGTCCCGTGGGACGCTGTCCACCGAACCCTCCAGCTGTAATACCAACCACGTAGAAAGGTGTATACGGTCAAACCGTTATAGCCGAACCCGTGCAAATGTTGTAAGGGAGAAGGAATAATAGTTACAACAGTGGTCCTGACAAATGCAGCGCAAGCGAAGTGTTTTCCGCTCTCAATTGCCGATCACGTATGAACGCAGCTACACATAAGATCTTGAACCTCACTTGTGTCTTGAGCCAAATGGCAATCAATGGAACCTTGTAAGCAACACAAACACGGACCTCAGAACTGCTTCCCAATTTAGGCACGGGGCCAGGAGGGTTTTAACATCCCCCATTTGGGTCGCATTGTTCATCATGCGGTCCAAACACCACAAAACGTTCCACTGGCCACGGCTTCAGCTACGAAACTGTGTCGAACACTCTTTCACTCGCTATCGCTACACCGTTCATTCATTGTGAAACCTGCCGGGTTCGATTGAAAATGAAACATGCATCCGCAAATCGTAGCACATTCCCATATGCAGGTGTAATGTATACACTATCGTCACGTCATTTTACAACCATTGAACATCCCAGCTGCCGCATTTGCGCATCGCGCAGCCGTCATCCACAGAAATGGGTTGGCCATAGAAGTTCAACAGAAGCGCCTGCTCGTAAGCAATCTGCATATCACCGGCAAAGAAATATCGGTGAGCAATCAATGCAAAACATAGCCATTCCAGGTACCATGAATAATATATATAATGAAAAGGAAATCATCCATGAGGTAATAGTTCCATCCATGAATATCCGGAATGTCATAGCCGTCGGAATATGTAAATGTATACACATCCATTCATCTTGGACGCATGAAATCATATCATGACGTTCCATCGCAATAACATTGATGAGACGCAAGCAACAGACGGGGACTAGCCCACATCGTGCCGCAATCAACATCTGCATTACGCATACCTGTCTCCAATGGACAGCCTGTGGGTACGTCGACGGAACTCTTCGTCCAAATTCTTTTGGGCCTCTCGTGCCCGGACACACTTCTTGTGATGATCTTCTGGCATCCAATGCCCCATTCGTAGGCGCCAATCCAGCAGAGGTGTGTCGCATTTATTCGGGTCAGTGGCTGCAATAATAGCGCTCACATTTACCGAATAACCATATTTGCCAAGGTTCAAGCCATCCCTTACGAACGATATATACTTACAGTTGAAAGCCAGGGAAAAGCATCTCGCTGCAATCCACAGCTTGTAGAATATGTACAGCCCCTCGCACTTGTATACCATCAGACGAATGTATTCATTACGCTCCTCAGCCGACCGGAAGACCCTTGTTCGAACATTCTGAGATTGAGAAATCTTCAGTACCGTCGATGGCAAAAGGATCCCTTCCTGATCGTGTTCAGTCATGTTGGGGTACTTCATGAAGTCGTTGTGGTATGGGCAGCCTGGCTTCCCTTCGAGCGCGGCATCCATCGTTCTCTTTTCACCACCTTCGAACATCCCCCACATCTTTGACATCTGCAGTGCGATGAGTCCCGCCATGTATTGAGCTTCGCGCGGCTCATCAAGGCAAATCGCCATCTGCTGGGTATTTATAATATCCCGTGATGCCAAGTCACTGTCGCGGTATTGCCAACCGCCATCTTCCTCCTCAGACATGTAGCCGGACGTGTATCCTTGCGTGTCCATGTCGTCCTCTTCAGGAACGTCCTCCGCCTCATCATCCCCTTCCTGTGCTGCCGCATCATGGTTGGCCTCGTCTTGTGCGCGCTTGGCATCACCCGAGACATTGGGCCTTTGGTTGTCCTCATCGTCGTCGGAACTGATGTGAATGTAGAATCTCCCGGTAGAGATCAATTGCGCTCCACATTCCAGGCATACACAGAAGCATGTGGGAATCGCGGTCGCACATGACGGACATATCCGGCACCTCAGTCCTTCCCATGTCTCGTCATTCAGGATGACGACTTTGCTGATCTCGTCCCTGACCTCGTTGGTTTGCGCCTCAAACTCTTCCAGCTTGTTTGCCCGGAAAAGTTCGCATGCACGATCAACCATGTCTTTGATGTAGTGCAAATTGTCGGCGCCTGCCTCGGTCTCGGGCATCCTCTCGTTGATCTTCGCGACGTTCTGGAGGAACATCGCAGCCGATTCCTGGGATGAGTTGACGAAACCCGGGCAGATCTCGTTTTCCACACATTTTGAATAACTCGCTTGGTGTCCCCGTACTCCAGGCGTTTCCCTCCGTTGCTTTTGCCAATCCAAATGGACTTGACCTCATAGAACGGGATCACGTCAAAGACCATGAATGTCCCATTTGCCGCGACTCCAGCTCCATACCGCGCGAGGGTTGCACTGGGAATGTAGATGATCGCAATCGGATCCCCCGTCCTTACGTTTCGTAGCGTCACCTTCGTTGCTACGTTCATCTCATCCCATGGAGCAAATGCTCCGAAGTGCAGTGCTAGCCTGTTTCCGCCATCGATCCCGCCGGGGACTAGCCCACAGCGTACGATGCTTGGCAGGTTCTCCACATACGTCACATGGAATGCTCCTCCGAGAGAATCACCCATTCTTGCGGAATACCTATTTGCCAGTGCGGATGAGCTCATGAATCCAAAATCACTGTGACCAGTCGTGACTCGGATGCACCAAGGCCTGTACCATCCATCGCATCTGTTGAACATCCTGTCGATGTCATCCCGATCCAGGCCAGCATTGTTCATCTCCTCCCTGGCCGCCCTCATGTCATTCGGGTTCATGATGCTTGGAAACCTTGCCGCCAGGACCTGAAATCTCGACTTCTTTTGTCCGGACTCCTGCCACTTGATCACTTCCATGATGCCCATGTATCGTTTTGCTCTCGAAGTTGAAGGTGGGAATATGTCGCTGTTGCGGTCGTCAATGACTGCGTCGATGTCGACCCATCCACCTTCATCGCATCTGAAAACACTTCCTCGGCAATTGCCGATTTTGTGCCGAAGGACTCTGCATAGGTTGTGAGATAGCTGGTTTGCTTGATCTTTCGTAGCAAATACCGAGCGATCATCGCCAATCTTGCATAGTGGAGCACCGTCAAAAGGAGCAACGCAGAAATTGACGCTCTTGCCAAGCTGCATCACATCCACCTGCTCAAGGTTGGCACCCTTGGGAAAGTATTTGGGGTCAACAATAGACGCGTACGCCCATGGCATATGAACGTCACTCACGTCGCCATACTTCGGGATGTAGCATGGGATGGTGTCACATCCTCGCTCTAGCGTCGTTTTGAACGTTCTGTTGTCCCCGCACGGATTGTGGGTGAGGTCCACGCCACCGCATTGTAGCTCTCCTCCCTCAGCCGTGTCAGCCATTTCCACCAGGTTGATGGTATAGCTATACATTTCTATTGTTTCTTTCCCTTCTTGTCCTCCTTTCTTGCGTCCCTTGGATGTTGACGAGGACGGCTCCTCCGTATCCCCCATTTCTTCATCCGAGGAAACATGATCGCTGCTGAGAAGTTCTCGGATCTTCTTCATCGCCTTCTCATTCCCAGCGGCCTCCTCATAGTTCTTGCAGTCGCCGTCGTGGGCCAGGTTCGCGCATTTCATGCAAATTCCCATCTCTCCCATGCACTTTTCCATTGAGACTAGGAATCCGAGTGCCGCTCTCCGCCCATCAATCACTCGCTGCTTCTTCTCTTCTTTCTCAGCGTTGGGTTGAGAGCTTCGGCTCGGGTCTGGTACTTGACCAAGACCGTCACCTTCGCCCTCTGTTGCCTTCCTCTTGGATCCTTGGGTGGCAGGCTCGGTCATCAGGGATCGCGGATGTTTGGGCTTGATCTTGTTCATGATGTCCAGCACTTCTTTCGTGGGCGCCCCGAGCTGGGCGGATGGTTTATTCCGCTTTCGGTTCTGGCCCGTCGTGTGGCTCACGTTCCCGGCGAGGTGTCGTACGATTGAATGCTCAAACTCCCTCTTGATCTTCCATATATCTTTCCATAGCGGAAGTTCGTGCTGAAAGTACGACATCACCTCAAAGAATCCCAATATCATCTCGACGACGTCCCCCAAGGACTCCTCATTCGTAGTCTGTCCCAGGAGGTCATACATCGTCCCCTGATCGAGCACGCTCTTGATCCAGGATGAATAGGCCACGTTGCCAAGATCCTTGTCTATCACGAAGATGGAGGTCCTCTCCTCAACTCCCTCGGAATTCTTGCGCGTGATCGCATCCCGGGATGCACACAATTGCTTCCCGTGACCGTTGTTGTAGAACTGTGCTGCCTGATCCATTGTCATGCTCACGAAACCCACGTGGGATAGCTCCTTCTTCAGCTTGGAATAT